AGATACTCGGGGTACAGATACTCGGGGTGCAGATACTCAGGGTACAGATTGGTACAGATACTCGGGGTACAGATTGGTACAGACACTCAGGGTACAGATTGGTACAAATACTCGGTGTACAGATGGGCACAGATGCTCGGGGTACAGATACTCGTGGTGCAGATACTCGGGGTACAGATGGGTACAGATACTCGGGGTACAGATGGGTACAGATACTCGGGGTACAGACACTCGGGGTGCAGATACTCGGGGTACAGATGGGTACAGATACTCGGGGTACAGATGGGTACAGATGCTCGGGGTGCAGATACTCAGGGTACAGATTGGTACAGATACTCGGGATACAGATGGGTACAGATACTCGGGGTACAGATACTCGGGGTACAGATAATCGGGGTATACATGGGTACAAATACTTGGGCAACAGATACTCGTGGTACAGTTAATCGGGGTACATATACTCGGGGCACAGATGGGTACAGACACAGAAGGTACAGATACGCGGGGTACAGACACTCGGGGTGCAGATGGGTACAGACACTCTTGGTACAGATACTCAGGGTACAGATACTCGGGGTACAGATGGGTACATATACTCGGGGTACAGATGGGTACAGATACTCAGGGCTCAGATTCTCAGGTACAGATACTCGGGATACAGATGGGTACAGATACTTGGGGTACAGATGGGTACAGATACTCAGGGTACAGATACTCGGGGTACAGATACTCGGGGTACAGATACTCGGTGTACAGATACGCGGGGTACAGATGGGTACAGATACTCGGGGTACAGATGCAAAACAACTCATCTTACTATGCTATATGCTATAAAGAAATGAAACGTACATGTGATTAAATACACACGTGTAATATAAATATGCAATAAACGCCTGATATACACGTGAAACATACGGTTGCAATATACACGTAGAATATGTCAACTGTATGCAATGCTTGCCGTTACTAGACGTGAACTTGTCTCTTAAGCAGAGCTATGTTATCTTGTTCCAGAGAGTGTTTGTGTACAGGAAGGCGGATTTATCCACAGCTGCTACGCGACAGACAGAATAACATCTAGTCTCTGAAATGAACATATCGTACAGAAAAAAAACAGTTGTTCAGTTATCTTAATAAAAATATAATAAAAGGGAGCCCAGTGACGCTCTTCATTTCCTCATACTGCAGTAATCTAGACTTGCCAAACATAGACTTGCACGGGCTGTATTTGATATATATTTGTATCAGGGTCTGTAAGACAGACTAACAGACCGCCTGCAGTTCCCAAACCGAAATAGGTTTCCTGGTATTACACTCAGTCTGCTCAGCGCATCGATGTATATAGGTTGACAAACACATACACTCACAGTCTGCTCAGCGCATCGATGTATATAGGTTGACAAACACATACACTCACAGTCTGCTCAGCGCATCGATGTATATAGGTTGACAAACACATACACTCACAGTCTGCTCAGCGCATCGATGTATATAGGTTGACAAACACATACACTCACAGTCTGCTCAGCGCATCGATGTATATAGGTTGACAAACACATACACTCACAGTCTGCTCAGCGCATCGATGTATATAGGTTCACAAACACATACACTCAACAGTCGCATTGATAGTCCTTCGCCTTGAATGTGGAATGTATCTACTGCTATACATATATGTTTCTAAAACACTAGGCAAGCCTAGAACAGGGGCGGTCGGGTAGCCTAGTGGTTAAAGCGTTCGCTCGTCACGCCGAAGACCCTGGTTCGATTCCCGACATGGATACAATGTGTGAAGCCGTGATATTGCCGGAATATTGCTAAAAGCGGCGTTAAACCATACTCACTCACTCACACCCCAAGTCTAGAACAAACTAGGAAAGTCTAGTTTCTTTGAACAGCAGAAGAGAAAAAGGTTTATTTTGAAGAAAAAATATAATTATTTAAAAGAAAATGTTTTCATAGACTATGTTATACGTGTAAGTCTATCATATTGAGTATGTGCCGATTTCCTGACATCTCGCAACATAAAGGTTCCGCCGCGACCGGAAAGGTCACCTGATCTCGATCCAATTTTGCATCTGTGGGATGAGTTAGAGAGACGTTTACGTGAACGTCAGCCAGGGCTACTGAATCTGCAGCGATGGCGCCAAGCTCTTCAGGAAAAATGGCCTGCCATTCCATAATCTGCAGACTTCTCGGTTCCATGGGCAAGAGGTCGTACAGTCATATAAGAGTGAGTGAGTTTGGTTTAACGCCGCTTTTAACAGTATTCCAGTTATATCGCGGCGTCAGTCATATAAGAGGCGGTACTATATTTTACGATTTCTGTGTTTGAGATTGTGACATAGTCGGCACATGGAAACACGTACACGTTGACGTGTGATACACCCTGTTTCTCTGCGTAACTTCCAAACAATTAAATTGTCTCCGAAAATTCTTGAAAAAAAGAATTATGTTTCAGACTGATGAAAATAAGAAAGAAGTTGCTAGCCACAAAAATTACATTGCTGCAATGTGTTTTAATTCAGGCTTATAGTTTGAAATATTAAAAAAATCTGGTTGTTTTTTAGTTTTGTAGCTGAAAAGGCGTTATAGTGCATGTTGTAGGTCCTTTATACTCCACGCTATGTATCTTGTAAGTTATAAGTCCGTTATAGTGCATGTTGCATGTTATAAGTCCGTTATAGTGCATGTTGCATGTTATAAGTCCGTTATTGTGCATGTTGTTGTGTTATAAGTCCGTTATAGTGCATGTTGTTGTGTTATAAGTCCGTTATAGTGCATGTTGTTGTGTTATAAGTCCGTTATAGTGCATGTTGTTGTGTTATAAGTCCGTTATAGTGCATGTTGTTGTGTTATAAGTCCGTTATAGTGCATGTTGCATGTTATAAGTCCGTTATAGTGCATGTTGCATGTTATAAGTCCGTTATAGTGCATGTTGTTGTGTTATAAGTCCGTTATAGTTCATGTTGTTGTGTTATAAGTCCGTTATAGTTCATGTTGTTGTGTTATAAGTCCGTTATAGTGCATGTTGCATGTTATAAGTCCGTTATAGTGCATGTTGTTGTGTTGTAAGTCCGTTATAGTGCATGTTGTTGTGTTATAAGTCCGTTATAGTGCATGTTGTTGTGTTATAAGTCCGTTATAGTGCATGTTGTTGTGTTATAAGTCCGTTATAGTGCATGTTGCATGTTATAAGTCCGTTATAGTGCATGTTGTTGTGTTATAAGTCCGTTATAGTGCATGTTGTTGTGTTATAGGTCCGTTATAGTGCATGTTGTTGTGTTATAAGTCCGTTATAGTGCATGCTGCATGTTATAAGTCCGTTATAGTGCATGTTGCATGTTATAAGTCCGTTATAGTGCATGTTGTTGTGTTATAAGTCCGTTATAGTGCATGTTGTTGTGTTATAAGTCCGTTATAGTGCATGTTGTTGTGTTATAAGTCCGTTATAGTGCATGTTGTTGTGTTATAAGTCCGTTATAGTGCATGTTGTTGTGTTATAGGTCCGTTATAGTGCATGTTGTTGTGTTATAAGTCCGTTATAGTGCATGCTGCATGTTATAAGTCCGTTATGGTGCATGTTGTTGTGTTATAAGTCCGTTATAGTGCATGTTGTTGTGTTGTAAGTCCGTTATAGTGCATGTTGTATGTTATAAGTCCGTTATAGTGCATGTTGTATGCAATAACTCCTACATTATGCGTGTTGTATGTTATAAGTCCTATATTGTGCATATTGTATGTTATAAGGCCGCTTTTGTCCATGTTGTGTGCCATACATTTTCTATAGTGCATATGTGATGTTGTAAGTTATTTCTGAGTGAGTGAGTATTGTTTTACGCCGCTTTTAGCAATATTCCAGCAATATCACGGCAGGGAGGCTTCCATGTGGGAATCGAACCCAGGTCTTCGGCGTGACGAGCGAACGCTTTAACCACGAGGATACCCCACCGCCCATTTTATTCCTGAAGGTTATGAGAGGCAGAACAACCAGCGTTCATATGTGGTGATACTCCCAAGTCAACTCGTAGGATAGAGTGTCGTACCTCGCCAGCAATTGACACCATTGATTGATTTAGAGGAGCTCGTTTACAGGCTTGTTTCACGTATCAACATCCGGGACAAACTACTTGTTTCGAGTCGCTTCGAGGTAACAGTTTCTAAAAGCCTGGCTGCACTTACAAAGAGCGAGGCGAAGGCGTTTGAGGCCTACTTCCATGCACGATCTGACAGGTGACACATTTGGTTTACCTGTGCGTGCCTTACACCGCCGACTTGTGTGTCTGCTTCCAACATTGTTTCAAGAAAGGAACACGTGCCAGAGGCGGATACAGCTTTTTTAAAAGGGGGGGGGGGGGGGGTGCACAACTAAGATCTATGAATTGTCTTTGGTGGTAATTTATACAGAAATAAAGATTTTTTTCGAAATAAAAGGGGGGGGGGGGCGCACCCCCGCGACCCCCCTCTGTATCCGCCCATGCGTGCTTCATTCGACCCGTGAACATCCGGGTTAGAATAGGTCTTCAGCAACCCATGCTTGCCGTAAAAGGCGACTAACTGGATCTGGTGATCAGACTCGGTATCCCAAATGCGCGGTTCGATGCTCATGATGTCAATCACTGGATTGTGTGATACAGACAGACCGCCGTCACATAGCTGGAATATTGCTGAGTGTGGCGTTAAACAACAAACAAGCAAACGTGCCTCATTCAAGACTTTCGATTGTGACAAATTCTGGAAGTCCAATGTAACAGAGCCTGTTATTTATTGGGCACGCCAGAAACCTATGATTTTGGGTTCGAATCCCGGTTCGCCCCAATAATATTTCAAGGTTTGTCAGCACCATACCCGTGCTCGTGGGTTTCACCAAAGTGGTAAACGTCTGAGACCTGCATCACTTCGGGCTTTCCTCCCACATTAAGCTGATACGCCGTGATATAACTGGAATACTGTTAAAAGCGGCGTTAAACACAACTCACTCACTCACTCCGTTTTCTGTGTTAACCTTCGCGCTTCAACTTGGGAAACAATACACATTTTGTATGGCATAAGTCCTTCTAGTGCATGCTGTACTTTATATATCTCCTTTATTGCCTGTTCTATGATGTAAGCCGGTTACAATGCCTGCTGTATGTTATTAGTCGGTTATTATGCATGCTTCATGTTGTAAGTTCGTTACAACGCATTCCGTATGTCATGAGCCCGTTATAACGCATTCTTTATGTTGTAAACCCGTTATAACGCATGTTGTTTCTTGTATGTCAATAGCTATATAGCATCCTGCATTTTGTAAATAAATATTAAACTGCATGATTTTTGTAAGTAAAACGTATTCGTGTTCCTCAACGTACAGTCTAACCAGACAAAGATGGATAAAGTCAACATCTCGCAACATCAGTGTAGAAGACGGTCATGAGTGAGTTAATTGGCAATAAACGCCGTTTTGACTGAGGTAAAGTAGAAAGTAGACAGTTTTAGTGGCTTGAACTCGTGAAACCCACGAACATGGGCATGGTGATGCAAAAAATATTTGCCGCGAATATGGGACAATCGGATACTGAATTCCATATATGTGAGTATTGTTGATCACAAATTGGCAGTGTATGTTCCATAGATATGTAACTACATGTACATGCATATCCCTTTGGATTGGAGGCCTGGAAGCTTGGAGGCTTGTGGAGGCGTGGAGGCTTGGAGGTTTGGATGCTTGGAGGCCTGGATGCTTGGAGGCCTGGATGCTTGGAGGCTTGGAGGCTTGGAGGCCTGGATGCTTGGAGGCCTGGATGCTTGGATGCTTGGATGTTTTGAGGCCTGGATGCTTGGATGCTTGGAGGCTTGGATGCTTGGAGGCGTGGATGCTTGGATGCTTAAATGCTAGGAGGCATGGAGGCTTGGATGCTTGTGGATGCTTGGAGGCTTGGATGTTTGGAGGCCTGGATGCTTGGATGCTTGGAGGCCTGGATGCTTGGAGGCTTGGAGGCTTGGATACTTGGATGTTTGGAGGCGTGGATGCTTGGAGGCTTGGAGGCTTGGAGGCTTGGATGCTTGGAGGTTTGGATGCTTGGAGGCTTGGATGCTTGGGACTTAGATGCTTGGAGGCATGGAGGCTTGGAGGCTTGGAGGCTTGGAGGCCTGGATGCTTGGATGTTTGGATGCTTGGAGTCGTGGAGGCTTGGAGGCCTGGATGCTTGGATGCTTGGATGCTTGGAGGCGTGGATGCTTGGATACATGGAGGCTTGGATGCTTGGGGGCCTGGATGATTGGAGGCTTGGAGGCTTGGGGGCTTGGAGACTTGGATGCTTGGATGCTTGGAGTCTTGGAGGCTTGAAGACTTGGATGCTTGGAGTCTTGGAGGCCTGGATGCTTGGAGGCTTGGAGGCATGGAGGCTTGGAGGCTTGGAGGCTTGGAGGCCTGGATGCTTGGATGTTTGGATGCTTGGAGTCGTGGAGGCTTGGAGGCCTGGATGCTTGGATGCTTGGATGCTTGGATGCTTGGGGGCCTGGATGATTGGAGGCTTGGATGCTTGGATGCTTGGAGTCTTGGAGGCTTGGAGACTTGGATGCTTGGAGTCTTGGAGGCCTGGATGCTTGGAGGTGTGGATGCTTGGAGGCGTGGATGCTTGGATACTTGGAGGCTTGGATGCTTGGGGGCCTGGATGATTGGAGGCTTGGAGTCTTGGAGGCTTGGAGACTTGGATGCTTGGAGGCTTGGAGGCGTGGAGGCTTGGAGGCTTGGATGCTCTGAGGCGTGTAGGCTTGGAGGCTTGGAGGCTTCACTTCGGACGTGAGGCACCAAACATTAGCACATCAGATGAGATTACAACCAATATAACAAAATACATTTTCACTTGAAACAGGCTTAAGGCAGATAGATAAATGTTTTTCACCGATATTAATATATCAAATTCATTTTCTTCAATAAGCATCAAACAGACCGCCCAAGCGGTGATAACTACGCGACCTGTACTTGAACACGTAAACACAGCGTCTACGTGAACGCGTGGACGTGTGGACAGCGGGACGTTCATCACGAACAGGATGCACATGCAGCAGTCGTGCACCATATGTGTACACAGGTCCATAGTCATTCGTGCAACCACCACCCGCAACCCCACGCCCAATACCCCACCCCCCAACCCTCCGGAAAACGAACGGAAAAGTAAAACTGGTGGGTCATTTATTTTTAATTTTCACAATTTCGACTCCGACGAAGGTAGGTTATCAACAGGTATGACTCACGGCCCGCGGTGGTGACTCAGGACACGCTATAGCAGCACGCGGATGTATTCTTCAATACGTTGCTACTCAGCTGTGATCTGATCGATACCAACCAAAGCCAAAATAGCTCAAAGCGTGACTGCGACGTGATAACCACTGTCCTTGAAAACATTAAGATTGACCGTTGACTCGTTTGACAGTGGAATATAGTTACTTTTACCAAGTTTTGGTATAGCATCGCGGAAATGATGGGGACAGTCTTAAGCCAAACCAATGAAAGTTAATGCATCATATTTGTGATCTTCTTTGTTTGTTTGTTGCTTAACGCCGCATCCTGCAGTATTCCAGCTATATGACGGCGATCTATAAATAATCGAATCTAGACCAGACAATCCAGTGATCGACACATCAACCAAGTCATCGAGCCTGACCACCCGATCCCGTTTGTCGCCTCTTACGACATGCATACCGTTAGTCGCGTCTTATGACAAGCATGGGTTGCTGAGGCCAATTCTGACCCGAGCGTTGATATCGAGCACGAAAAAAAGAACCATTTGTTTTTTTGTGCTTTATCAGATAAGTTACATGTGTATATTCTAGCTGATGTATGCAAAATTATGTGAGCGTGGGAAAAACAGAATAGCTAATCTTAATATCACTGATTTTGTGTGACTTTCATCAAATATTATTGATTAGGCTGCAAAGAATTATTTTTATACAGCTAAATTGGTTTGTTAAATTAACATGTATTTATGTATTTAGTAATGATACAAATGCATTATTTATGTTTCATTTGATATATGTGAATATTCATGTCGTTGGGTCCATGTGTGACCATGATACACAATCAGCTGATTATATGACACACTTTACTCACACGATCCGGACCTCAAGGTCCTGCTGCATGGGATGCTGCATGGGATGCTGCATGGGATGCTGCAAGGGATGCTGCATGGGATGCTGCAAGGGATGCTGCATAGGATGATACATGGGATGCTGCATGGGATGCTGCAAGGGATGCTGCATGGGATGCTGCATTGGATCTGCATGGGATGCTGCAAGGGATGCTGCATGGGATGCTGCATGGGATGCTGCAAGGGATGCTGCATAGGATGATACATGGGATGCTGCATGGGATGCTGCATTGGATCTGCATGGGATGCTGCATGGGATGCTGCATTGGATCTGCATGGGATGCTGCATGGGATCTGCATAGGATGCTGCATGGGATGCTGCATGGGATGCTGCATAGGATGCTGCATAGGATGCTGCATAGGATGCCGCATGGGATATGCATGGGGTGCTGCAAGGGGTGCTGCATAGGATGCTGCATAGGATGCCGCATGGGATGCTGCATGGGATGCTGCAAGGGATGCTGCATAGGATGATACATGGGATGCTGCATGGGATGCTGCAAGGGATGCTGCATGGGATCTGCATGGGATGCTGCATGGGATGCTGCATGGGATGCTGCATTGGATCTGCATGGGATGCTGCATTGGATCTCCATGGGATGCTGCATGGGATGCTGCATGGGATGCTGCAAGGGATGCTGCATAGGATGATACATGGGATGCTGCATGGGATGCTGCAAGGGATGCTGCATGGGATGCTGCATTGGATCTGCATGGGATGCTGCATGGGATGCTGCATTGGATCTGCATGGGATGCTGCATGGGATCTGCATAGGATGCTGCATGGGATCTGCATGGGATGCTGCATGGGATGCTGCATAGGATGCTGCATAGGATGCTGCATGGGATATGCATGGGGTGCTGCAAGGGATGCTGCATGGGATGCTGCATGGGATGCTGCAAGGGATGCTGCATGGGATGCTGCATGGGATGAAGACTAACATCTAGTCTCTGAAATGAACGTATTTTACAGAAAAAAACCAGTTGTTTAATCATATTTAAAAATATGATAAAAATGAGCCCAGAGACTTTCTGCCAAACATTACAGACTTGCATGGGCTGTATTGGATATATTTATTTCAGGGTCTGTATAAAAGCCGGGGCGATGAATTCAGTAATTGAAACCGGGGCGATGAATTCAGTAATTGAAACCGGGGCGATGAATTCAGTAATTGAAAGCGGGGCGATGTGGGTGGGTGGATGAATTCAGTAATTGAAAGCGGGGCGATGTGGGTGGGTGGATGAATTCAGTAATTGAAAGCGATGTGGGTGATGTGGGTGAAATGGGGGACGAGTAAATGAAATGGGGGTCGAGTAAATGAAATGGCGATCGAGGAAATGAAATTGGGTCGTGTAAATGAAATGGGGGTCGAGTAAATGAAATAGGATCGAGTAACTGAAATAGGGTCGATGAAATGAAAAAGGGGTCGAGTAAATGAAATGGGGGTCGAGTAAATGAAATGGGGGTCGAGTAAATGAAATGGCGATCGAGTAAATGAAACTGGAATGCTGTATTAAAGGCTAACGCCAGAGAATCCTACTGCAAGTTTTTATCATTGGCCTGGCAGTTTGTGGGTTGTCATATCCTGACGAGGTACAGCAACTAGATTTACAAATGTAGTATTACGCTTTCAGATGTACAGCTATAGTTCCCCCAGAACGTTCTTACTGAGAACCAGCTGGCCTTGCAGCGAACGATCCCTGCACAGCTCATTTCATGGAACGATTGATACAGCTGCTTCCGACTAGAACAAATACATGTTCAAAGCAAGAGTAGATATGGACATGTCCTTATTTATAATAGTGCGTTTTTATAGATGTCCGTAACTCACAACTCCCCTCTTTCTATATAACAATTTAAAATGCACAGTGAGTGAGTTTAACGCCGCTTTTAACAGTATTCCAATTATATCACGGCCTGTCAGCTTAATGTGGGAGGAAAGCCCAAAGTGATGCAGGTCTCAGATGTTTACCACTGGTGAAACCCACAAGCATGGGTATAGCGCTGACAAACCTAGAAACATAATCGGGGCGAACCGGGATTCGAACCCACAATCATAGGTTTCTGGCGTGCCCAAGGGACGCAACTCTGCATAGCGAATCGCTTAGATGACTGGGCCACCCGTGCTCCCTTAAAGTGCACAGGTATTGGGCTACAGAGGGGACCAATGTTGTTTTGTTTGTATGTTTAACGCGGCACTGTTCCAGCTATATGACAGCGGCCTGTATATTGTCAAGTCTTGACCAGACAAACCAGTGATTGATGTATGAGCAACGATCCACGTCGTCGGGGTATGATGACAGGCATTCAACCAAGTCAACGAACCTGAACAGCGGAATCAGACAAACATAACCACAAACTCCGCCATATCTAACCCCTTAAACCAACGGATTTATTTTAAATTAATATCAATCATCACATTATAAAAGTAATTCATTTTATAAATGTCCGTGTTCTATACAAAGTTATAGTGAAGTGTCAAGTCATTTTCTTATTGTAGCAGTCTGGGAAGGAAAGAAAAATTGATTTTTTGGGGAAAAAACACAGCTTAAAATTTCGAGTAAATAAAAAATCAGCCTCCATCTGTTTGACAAAAAAAACCCCTCAATAATAAGTCTCGACTACAATATTGCCATCCTCATCAATACAGAATATTTCGTGAGCAAAGCCATAATCTTTGACAGAGATACATGACCATAAGAAACAGTATGTCTATCGTCCTTATTTATTAATAATCATTTCAAATCTTCCATTGCAAGAGGCCATAACAGTTGTTGACTGATGGGAAATGACCATGAAGCATCATATACCCTTACTTGGAACCTGGTGAGTAAAAGAAACGTTACCGATCAACATGGTTTGTTCCCAAACACAGAACAGGAAGATACTGGAACGGTCAGCAAACTGTTTTGGTTGTGTTTCGGCGATTGATTCTCAACCATTTTGTAGTGTGAGTGAGTGAGGGAGGTTTTACGCCGCTTTTAGCAATATTCCAGCAATATCACGGCGGGGGACACCAGAAATGGGCTTCACACATTGTACCCATGTCGGGAATCGAACCCGGGTCTTCGGCATGACGAGCGAACGCTTTAACCACTAGGCTACCCGACCGACCTGACCATTTTGTAAGTCTATTCGGGGTTTGGACCCAACGTGTCCAGCTTTCAGTTTGGTAACGCTTGTTTTTTTCGTCAGTTGATATAAAAAGTTATGCTATTTATGTCCGTCATCCACATCATCTTAGTAATTGAAAAGTACATTCCTCCAGTAGATGTGAGTACCAACATGTCAAGTTGACTGGGTTTTGCTACACATGGTGTTGTAAAAAATGGTCTTTTATTTATTATTTTTTTATAAAATTCTTTATTATACTGCTATTTTCACTGTTCTGTTTCAAAATCATCAACATATGTACAGTTATTATGTTTTAGTGAGAAAATCTTAACATTCTTTCCAAAGGTTGAATTTGAAATGTGCCGCAAAAAATCTCAGCTCCTAAAAATGAAGAAAATAATTACTCTTCCCAACCAAACCCCTCCCCCACCCTCAAATATCAAATGGCCCGCCTCTTATATTATCAACGAATATGTTGTGTGTATTATCTTATGCTACTCGAAGCTATTTGTTTATTATATTTTGAACGAGCGTCTTGTTTTTATATATAATACATCCCGATCTTCACATGTTTATTATATTCTTCACTAATATAATTGTGTTTATTATATAAGGCTACTCGAACCTTTTGTGTTTATTATATTCTGAACGAGCCTCTAGTTCGTGTTATTTAATACATCCTAATCCTCATATGTTTATAATATTCCTAACTAATATTTTGTGTTTATTATTTAATACTTCTCGAACCGTTTTGTGTTTATCGTATTATACTTCTCGAGCCGGTTGTGTGTCAATTCGTTTCATCTGCAGTCAAATACAGGCTCTTCACGCAGAAGCCTCATTCTTCACTCGCATCTTTCCGCGACCTACAAGATGACCCAGAATTACACGAATAGGCCATGAATGTCTGTTGCCATATGATATTGTTTCTCCTGGACCTAATACCTTGAATTCTAGGCCCTTGGGCACATTGAAACTTGGCCGATCCGTCCTTTATGAGAATATATAATCCACAACAGGCTTCCATGTGAGATGTTGTTTGTGAGAGATCAAGCGAAGCTGTTTAGCTGTACTTTTATTTTACATTTTACAAACTGAAAAATGTTGGTAGAAGAATTTTGGATGATAAACAGAATCTCTCCCTAGTGCCTTCTGACATTAAATATATCAACAGTTACACTCGTCGATAAATTTTAAAACAAGCATCGGTGTTTAAAACTTTCGTCGACTTGTGATATTTTTTACACTTGGGTTTGATTCTTTATAAACACTGAGCGAAACAAATAAGGGAACACATGAAAATACAAGTGCTCCTTTATTGTTTTCCAGGTTTTGTTCCCAAGCGAGGGATGTCACTGTGGGTAAAAATCTGGGAATAAATAAAGGGACACTCCAATTAAATGGTGTTCCCTTATTTGTTTCCCTCAGTATATTACACACAGGGGTGCGGGTATAGGTGAAACTGGCAACCCATGCTTGCCGTAAAAGGCGACTTTGCGTGTCGTAAAAGGCGACTAACGGGATCGGGTGGTTAGGCTCGCAGACTTGGTTGATGCATGTCATCGTATCCCAAACGCTGTATGTGACGTCATATTAGCGCACCGTCGCACATAATGAAAGATGAGATCACCCATTGTTCATGACGTCACAAACGCTTTATGTGACGTTGTTCTGACACCAGAGTAACTGTTTCCACATCTTTTTTAAAAAAAATAATCCGAAAAGGGCTCGGTAATATAAAGCATAACATTACACGGTAGTACGGATTATCTGCCCCTTGTGAATTACTATTGAAAGTTCCTCAGTAACAAAGATCGGATCTCACGGATATAAATCAATTTTGACAGATAATCCCGTATTCCTCTTAACGTGTAAGTAACTTTCCCAAGCCTTGAGGGCATACAGGTGGCCCAGTGGTCAAAGGCGTCGCAACTCGCTATGCAGAGTTGTGCCCCTTAGTAGTGCCAGAAACCAAAGATCTTATGGAATATTAGAAGGGACATTGTCGCGTTGTCGCAAAAACAAGCAAAACGGGACAACGTGACAATGAACCTTTTAGGATTCCATGTTACTAGGTTTTGTCAGCATCATACCCGTGCTCGTTGGTTTTACCAAGGTAGTAACTTCAGGTTTGCCTCTCATATAAAGCTGATTCAGCGTGATATAACTGGAATACTGTTCACAGCGGCGTCAGAGCCAAGTCACTCCCCACTATTTACGAAATGCTACATGCAATATAACTGAAGTATTTACACATACAGTATGTGGTATAAAATGATTCACAAATGTTCTATTGTATACGCTTGGTCTTGTTCGTGATGAACGTCTCGTTGTCCACACGTCTAGCAGACACACCACACGTACACCTATAGACGCCGGGTTTACGTGTTCAAACACAGGTCACGTAAATATCACCGGAGGGACGGTCTGTTTGATGTATGCAGGATAACTGGCTATAAACAGCATACAGTGTGTAGTATAACTGGCTTATTTACAACATACAATGTGTTGTTTAACTGGTTAATTCACAACATATAGTGTGTAGTATAACTGGCTTTTAACAACATACAGTGTTTTGTAAAACTGGCTTATTAACAACATACAGTGTGTTGTATAACTGGCTTGTTTACAACATACAGTGTGTTGTATAACTGGCTTATTTACAACATACAGTGTTTTGTAAAACTGGCTTATTTACAACATACAGTGTGTTGTATAACTGGCTTGTT